CCAAGTAAACAAAAATGCATATTAACAAATAACTTTACACAAATATGGTCTAAAATACAATGTATCAATCAAATCCTGTATCAATCAAAGATTTCACAGTTAAGTTATCAATTATTACCATTTTAAACAATTTTGGCACAACACTAGCATTTAAAGTAGCAACTTCCGTTTTTGCATTTAATTTTGGACATTGAGAAGCTTTGCGTCCAAACTCTTCACATTTAAAACACTATAAACCCTTATCGTTATATATACGTTACAATCGTGGTTACAGAAACCATATTTCGAAATATGGTTTCTGTAACCACGATTGTAACAAATTTAATTATTAAAACTTTCAACACCAGTATTATACCTTATCATTTCATTCTTATATTCATATTTATTTTTATTCCGATTTGAAGTATCTGTTCTTACATTATAGTTATCATCATATTTTGTTTTTATTCTATCGCAGGAATAATATTTACTATCAAAGTCATGTTTTGTTTTGATTTTATCGAAAGCTCGTTTACTCTTTGTAGAATCACTTTTTATTATTATAATAAACTTTAAGTTTCTCTTTAAATTCGGACAAATTTTTGCAGCCATGCAAAACAATTTTGTTTTCATGTTTATCTTTAATCCCCTTAATTGCATAATGCATAAAAACAGTAGCATCTATTTTTCCGAAATTACATAACTCTTTCATCTTTAAATATTATTCTTAATCGGATTCAGAATCCTTCATTCTACGTCTATTCAAAAGATCGTGCAAATTAGCAGAATTAAATTCTAAAGAAAATTCATCCATCAAAGCTTCTTTTAATTTTGGCCCGAATTTATTTCTGGTACAGTTCTGACAAATTAAGAGGCGTTACCACCAAGAGATCTTTTAACAAAAATGATTTTTTGCAAATCGAATAGTTTTGAAATATTTTCGAAATGTTTGATCCAGTGAATATTTTCATGCGATTCTGCATTATACTAATAGTTATTTATACTAACATTTTGAATTACAAAATTTCTACAAGAATTATTTTTATCACATATAAAAGAATCAAAATTTTTGTTCTCTGAATTGAAAAATCACTTTCATTCTTTTTATTTATCATATTTTAATTAGTGTGCTTCGAAGTTTCGTTTTCACGTTCGTGATTATTTATTTCTTTGTCTGACTCAGAGCTGGACTCTTAGGCGTCGTTCGCAAGCTCTGCTGGTTGGTTTAAAATCATTAACAAGGTCAAAATATTCTTAGCTATTTCTGTTTTATCACTCACCTTTTTTAATATTTTTCAATTTTGTTTCAAATTTTATTACACATTTTTCTTGCTTGTTTAAACTTTGTTTAAACAATTTTTCTCCCCTCTTCATCTTGTCAAATCTAATTCATAATTTATGTTATACAACATATATAAATATGTAAATTTTTACCTTTTTCTCTTTTAAATGTTGCACCACTGATATGCGTATACTAGTTTTGTGTCATGTTACCCCTTTATTTGTTCTGAGGGAGGATTAAGGGTCAGGTTGACCCAGGAGCCTCGATAAACCCAGGCAAAGTTGCCAAAATGATTCTGTTTTATCACCTTCGAATGAAACATTGAGAATGTTAGAAACAGTTATTATTTCGCTAAGAGTGAATTTTATTCAATATCTTTCAACATATTTTAAAATTCTTCGCTTTCAATTGTGAAATCAAAACCATTGAAATTTCTTAATCGTTTTTCGATTAGAACGATCAGATTCTTCATCAAATACGAATTTATGCAGAAGTTTTATTTGATCTGTTTTTATAGTTTCTCAATGAGGAATCTATCTTCAATATCATTAAGAATCATGTTTTATAAATAAAAGTCTTTTTATAGTTTCTGAGATGAGATTGACAAGAATCGAAAGGTTAATCAGAACATCAGAAAGAACATCGTTCGCTTATTTACTGTCATCTCTAGAATCAAATATATTTATTTTGATGAAAATCAGTACTCATTTTAAATTAAGTTCATTTGAATCGAATTTCTTCACTGTCCCACTTTCTGAATCTGTGGGATATATATATATATATATATATATAT